AACAAAAATCTATTCAAAAAACTATTCAAAATCAAAGGACTCAGAGTTTGCTAATAGTAGGTACCTGAAAATCTAAAAGATTTAAAAATAGCAGGTATGTATGTACTATGAATATTGACAATGAATACAATTAACACAATTATATTATATTATATAATATGATAATACCTATTGTCAGACTTTGTTCAATTCGTTATGTATAATCTACTTTTATCTTATCGGCGGTCTAACAGGCGTAAAACGTTAAATGTTTATAAAAACATGTATAAAAATACAAATGTAAAAGAATAAAATATATAATACAAGTGAAAAATAAAAAAAAATTATATTATCAGCATAATATATTAATATAACCATAATTGTATTGTAGGTGAATGGAATATTTATGAACGTGAAGCGTGTTTATTATTTGATAACCATAGTGAAGAAAATGAAAGGGTCATCATTTTTGGAACCAGAAGTAAGCTCTTAGAAAGTTAAAATACCTGGTATACAGATGGTAACTTTGGATTGGCTCTGAATAGTTTTTTTGAAATTATAAGTTATGAGAACTGGAAAATATAATGAATTCTATGCCTACTCTAAAAAAACTCAAAGTAACTATTTACGAAATAATGTTCCATGCTATTCTTTCAGTCTACGAAAAGAACAATCTCTTTCCAGATCCACTATACCTGAAAGTTGAAAAAGCACTAATAAATGCTGCAAAAAATGTATTAAAAGAAAATTTAACAATAAACGGATGTTTCTACTATCTTTGGCAGAGCACTTACAGGAAATTAAAAGGATTAAAAAAGGATTAATAAAAAATATCACGATGATTATGTTTTAATAATGGCTTGGCTTTTTTGCCACTACCTAGATTAAAAGAAGGTGCCGACTATTTAAAATTAAGTACACCTCATGGTGAGGAAGATTTTTTTAATTATTTTGATGAAAAGTACATAAGTGGAACGTTACATCGAGTTAATAAACAAAATGTTTCAAGTTTAACTGTTGGACGTTTTCCAGCGATATTTCCTTCGGAAACTTAGGATGTTCACCAAACAACTTTCCAAAATAATCACAGTACCAATAATGTATGCGAGTCATGGAACAATAGATTTAGTCATTTAGTCGGAGGAAAAAGTTCATCGATTTGGACATTAATCAATAAAATAAAACATGAACTTTCGGCTGACCGTGCAAAACTTGCTTTACAAACTGTAGGAGAGTCCAAAACTAAATATTCTAAATCAAAAACCACTCAAAACAGATTAAAAACCGTATGTGAACAATTAAATTCAAACGAAATTGAAGTGGATATGTTTTTGAAAAAAATATTCTTTAATTTAAGAAAACGATTATAAAATAGATTTTAATTTTATATTATTTGTAAATTGTATTTATTGTTTTTTTACATATTATTATTTACCGTCATTGAAAAAATTGATAATTTGTTTTAAATTATTATTTTACTATTGAAATTATATTGTATTACAAATGTGTTATTAGTTAAGTACCGGGTACACCTTACAAATTGTTTTTATTATAGTTATTTTTTCGCGGGGTTATTTAGTAGACAAATCAAACAACACATACGGGTGTGGCGTTCTCTTAATATATGATTAGAGCAGCTAGACAGCCATAAAATATAGTTGTTGAAAACCAAATTCCTGCTGCTAATTGCTGTCGGAAGAGATAACGTTAGGCTCAAGGTTATTAAAAAATACCTAAATACCTTAAATTAATAAAATAATTTGTGTAGTGGTTGATTAAGAAACGCATTCCAACGTTTTAAAATAAGTAAAATGTCCAAGATATATGCACTGGACAAATAATAATTCTTGAAACCTACAAAAATACTTAAAACCAATAACTAATAGTAGTATAAAATATGAATATGTTATAACCTTATAAGATATTCTTAGAAATAAAGGCCGTGTATCGAAATCGTTTTTGTATGCAATGATTTTTCATTGAATTAAATTTTAATACAATATCCAATGCAGTGACCTACTCAATGACGAGGTACACCATATCATAACAGTCGAAACATACTAAACAGCAAAGCGAGGAGAGACTTATTCAATTTGGTACCTACTTACATCATTATAATTTTCTAATAAATATGATGATTAATAAATCAGTATATTATTTTCAATCAGACAAAAATAATATAAATTCAATGTTTTCTTTGTCGTAGATTTATAAAGTAAATAACGTTAACTGGCACAAAAAACCAATATTAAATACTACTATGATATTAACTTTTATCTCTCAGCTTAAAACACCTTTTAAATGTTTAATTCAGTCACTTTTTCGTGTACGGAAGGGCACGGTTATAAAATATAGTAAATATGCGCAGTAAGAAAACAAAAGTCTCAGTAAATGAGGTAAATTGTGAATTTTACAGATGCTCGTTAACAGACTCGCGATATTTGCATAGATATAATTAAATTTAAAAAATATATTTTCAATTTATTTTGCAATTAACTATATTATGATAAAGTATTTGTAACAGAAGAAAAAAATTAGTTTTCATATACCATATTGAAGTTTCTATTTTCCTGGAAAGATTTGTCAGATGAAACAAATCCATACACATTTTTACTACCTACTTAATTGTATTGTTGGTTTATAGTTATAATAATTGAAACAATATTAGAACAGTATATAATTTTTTATGTTAATATCTACTATCGTACAATTATATTATTTATTGTATAATTTACAGTACCTATACAAATCTAACAGGATACAGTGACCGTTTGTGTGAACTATCGTATCGATTCACTAACTTTAGTAACTACGGGATACAGGTGTTCAATTGTTATTTGAATTAAATAGAAATAATAATATTAAATTTTCATAGTTATAAACCATGACATTTGATAAAAATAATTCTGCATTGATCTTGCAGGTTTATGGTTTACCTAAGAGCTTAAGAGCAATTTAAACGTTTAATTTAGCGTTTTAAATTTCGATACTAGTAAAAAGAGTAATAACTAGTGATGTTGAAAATGTATTGTGTATAGTTATCATTGATAACTTATCAATATGTGAATGTGTGGTATCTACTAGTTCATTCTTTATAGTGATGGTTACTCAAGAAAAGTGTCTATGATTATTAATTTTTGAATCACAACAAAATAGATATGAAAATAATTTTTTTCAAAACCTAGTTTCACATAAATATTTTCCCTTTCCCGTTCTTTACCTATATGTATTTCTTACTCCGATTATTTTGAAAAGCACTCGGCACGGTTCTACCACCAAAATAACAACTATGTAAAAATTTACTACCGGATACCACAATAAAAGTTGATGATTAATGCGTTTATACTAATCCAAAAGGGAATGACAGACGCAAAAAAAAAACACAGACCATTGTGAAATCAACACATTCATCGCTTCGTTCACAATTTAAAATAATCGTATAACGTATTTATTTATTTTTTTTTTAAATAATACTAAAAAGGTACAGGTACTTGCAGTGCTCTGTGAAGTACGTGAACGTTACGCTCGGACAGTAGTCGTAGCCCATGGATATAACAATAGAGAATTCTTCTCGAATAAGAAACCAATATATCCAATATAATATGGTACCCCACAGAGACATGCACACAAAACGTTAATCTGTTTGGGTTGTAAATCGTGTTAGACGTAAACTTTAACACATTATATAAACATTACACAGGTATATAGGGATCCGGAAATGCGTCGCATGTATACGTTATATACTTCGAAATTCTTTTGCTGGATTAAAAAGGTTCGTTTGGCATTGCAACATTTATCAGTATGTACATATATTGTACTCACCCGGACTCTTTTTTTTACGCGTGTTAAAATGTAAATATATACCTAAGTACGAATAATAAAGAAATTGTAAATAAAACACGACAAATTTCAGATTCCTGTATTTATAAATCTCTTAGCCCCGACATATTGTAGGGCAATATATAATATGCTTTATGCAATTTTTGAAATTTTTGCCAAAAACGAGTATCGAACACATTTTAGTGATGATGAAAAACTTTTTTTAATTAAATAAACGTAATTAATCGATTATACAGTACCTACAATAATATACTTACTAACGTTTAAACACCCCAGTCTAACAAGCATTTAAAACAAAATTTGTTATTATACAATGCATGCATACAACGGTCAAATAAATTATAATGGTATTGTCATTGTTTCAGAACAATTTATTTTCCGGACGCTAGAAGGGTTAGAAATTTATGAAACACATTCCTGCTTGCTTTATAACTACTTGATAAATTATCATTGATAAGTAGGTTATTTATTTATTTTGGTGTAGTTAAATACATTCATCAGTGTTTTAGCCAAAATGTTTCATGGGTTTCCACGAGATATATTAATCTTTTGGTCAAATATGAAAAAAAATATTTTTTTTTATTTAAATATTAATATATGCAATATACATACATAATATACTCTTTACAACTGATCATTTGTGGTAAGCAATAGTAATAGTTGTCAAATAACATAAGCGTACCTACATTTAACACGAGTTTAATAAAATAAATTGAAAAACAAGTAAAGAAAATTTAAAATGTGTACAAAATATAAATACTAGATAGGTAAATCAAAAAGGTCCAAAATATTTTTTAAATGTTAATAAAAATTTATAGAACATAATAAGTATTTTTTAATTATTCATTTTCAATTAGCAACAAAAAAAACAAAATTGATTGTTTTTTCTGATTATTTTGAATAGTATTTGGAATTTTTTACATTTGAGTTTTCGCTCCTCAAAGTACTAACTATATCCAATAAATACTATCAAAACCAACCCTAAAATTTGAAGATTTTTGTTGCTTAAAAGGTGTTGAAAATCTCACAAAAATAAATAATAAAAAACAGATTATTGTAAAACGATCAAATCAAAATTTTAGAGATAAATGGTGTGGATATGTAACCTACATGACCAAAACTTAATATAAATTATAATAACATGAAGTGTTATATAGTTATACTTATACGTATGTACGTACCTCGATAGTTTATATTTTGTTACCGGCGGTCTCGTACTCTCATATAGTGGTTGCCAACTGATCTTCACTTTTTCTTTTACAGTACAATTTTCACAGCAATACTGTTATGTCAATACCCACGGTGGTTGAGTGGTTAGAACCGCGATCTGAAATCACCAATAGTAATCAACGTCAAAAAATAATTACCGACGAAGTACGATTATTTTATATTATATAACGCTATACCTAAAATAACTTAAAATTAAATTACAAAAAAAAATGTACATTAATGTAAGCTCGAGACGCGTTGAAGCCAAAACCGATAATCGCAAAAACCATGCAATAGCTTAGAACACTGGACGAACGCGACTGTGCCGAAATCCCGATGGTTGACCGTAGGTAGCCGATGGTCGCACAAAAACCTAATGCGCAACGCCAAGGGAAGTGGAAGGGGATCGTTGTAATGGTCGATCCTTTGAAATGTGTGTAGAAATAATATTGTAAACACACGATTTCGGGATGTCTTTTTGATTTAATATGAGGAGTATTACATGGTGTGCCCTTGAATGAAACTTTTGTGTCTTAAAATCTTGAAACATAATTGTATTGTTTTAGAGGAAAAATAACGCATTTTCACAGAACTATTTGCTTATAGCCTAGATTACAGAATACAGAGACAAATAATTGTCAACAAATGTTGGACATTTTCTTGTGACTATAATAATATATACAATATACTATTACTCTGTCCATAATATATTTTTTCCTCTTAATGATTTTCACTTATTAAAATCCATAATAATTTACAATTGTTCAGTCAGGGCTAGATCAATAGGCTAGCCCTAGGCGCTAAACACACATTTTTAAATCAGGGCTTGAAACCGAAAATATTTTTTTCGATTTCGATTTCGGGTATTAGTATTTAATTTTTTCGATTTCGTCTTCAGTTTCGTTATCGATTTCGGTTTTAATCCGTATTTAAAATCGGTATCCAATATCTAATTCAAGCCATGTTTTAATACACATTATACAAGTACTGGCAAGTAGCAATCAATTTATTTCGGAAAAAATTTAATTGATTTTTTCGAATATTTTATATTTTATCTGCATAGATAATATATTTTTTTGAGAGTAAAATAACATAAACAATCTTAAGTATTAATTAGACCTTATTAGTTTATGTTTTATTCAAAATAAACTACACGGGTAATAAAAAAAAAAATCCAATGTTATAATTATTTAAACTTTAAAATATTATTTTTCTACTTATATAAAATCGTACTAATTGATTAACGGTTATAATTTTGTGTTACTATTTTACAAAAAATATCATAAAAAACATTTTGAATTTCGAATCCGAAGGGACGAGTTTTTTGTTAAGCTAGAAAAAAATAACTTCCCTAATTGTCTAGCTTTATAGGTACACGTTAATCCAAGCCTGTGTTCAGTACTCGGGTAATTGTTACACGAGTAATATAATAAATATATTATAATTTATAATATAGTACCAATGTCATATTATAGATTCATCGGTATTTGTTAACTCCGTCTTACAAATTCATAATTCATAAGTCTCGGGACTTTTTAAAATTAAAATTCTTTATATATGCTCATAAAAATGTAAATGTTAATTTTCAAATATAAAAACTCTTATGTTATCAATTAAGGTTGACTTATTTGTAGGCCAAAAATGGTCTTTCCACATTGATAGCGAACATACTATGTAATGTATAAAATAATTATAAATAATAAAATCTTTTGCTAGTCAACTAAGAATTATGAATTATTTTACAGTGATAATTTTTGTTTTATTTTTTTTTTAATTATTTAAACCATAGCTTTTTTGTTACGTTTTCCAGTTTTTGTTTTTATACTTCAAGTTTTCTATTGAAAACTTTACCAAATGAAACATTTTGTTTTTGTAACTCGTCAATAGTTAATTTTTCAAAATTGGATTTGATGTAAATCAATTTACTTCATAATTTTGACTTGATATAATATTATGTTCCGCAAAAATTTACAATAATGTTACTTCATTTTAAATGCAGGTAAATCGATCAGGTCGTTTTCGGTTATAGTTAGTCTACTGTTAAATTTATCTACCGATTATTCTAGACGACGCCGTCCAACAGTTCAAATAATTAATAACTAAAAGCAGGCATTTCAGACATTCTGTCAGAAGCCCTCCACCCAGACAACATAAGACACATTATAACCTTTATTGCTAAGTCCAACCTTATCAATAGTATTTAATATGTAACTTGTATAACATGTCAATAATTTAGAGTTAAACTCTTTGTTTCCAATGGCCATAGTTGCCGAGGCTTAATTCAAATAAAAAAAAAAATAATAATAATAATAACTAATACGCTTAAGAAAAAATCACTATACAAATTTATTAAAAAGAAAAAATTAGTGTTCGAATTATATGATAATAAAAACCAAGTTTAATATTCTTGCTGCGTTTCCGCACAATATACTAAATTTTGTATTATAAATACTTACATGATAATTTTTGTCTAATAAGTTACTAAAAATAAAAAAGAACGATTGATTTAAAGTGTTATGTATGATATAAAGAAATGACAAAACATGTCCCCCAATGCATTACTTTGGGCTCTGGTAGGAATTTATTCAAGGTGCTTTTTTTTTTTTAATAAGTAAACTCGAGACAGTACCTTACGAAAGATATTAATGATTATCTACAGTAGTATTTATTACTATTTATGAACAATTTTTAATGTTATACATCTTGTATAGATTGTACCTGTACCTACCTATCGGCTATTTGTTAGTATAAGTTTATATTTTAAATTAAAAAATCACGTAATCATATTATTAAAAATTGAAAGTTGATCCCAAGTTATATAGTATTATATTCAAATGACTGAATTAATATAAAAAAAAGATACCACTAGATAATATTTTTATTTTAACATCTAAACAGTATTTATAATTTATTTTCCTCATTTTAAGTAGGTATACTTAGAGGTAATATGTGCAGTGTCATATTTAAGAAGGGTCGTGGTGGGAGGGGGCAATCGCCCTGGGCAGCAATTTTTTGGGGGGCACCAAATTTGTTTTCTTTCAAAAACAGATTTACATTAATTTAGGCAGTTTTAGGCAAATCAATGTCACAAAACGTTCTATAAATATCTAAACAATTATTAACAGCTATTATTTGCAAGCAATCTCAATATATGATATATCTACGTGCGTAGCCACCTACACCTATTATTCTGTGCTTAAACTAAACATTTCTTATATGGTATGATGTTAGTAACATCTTACTGTCAGCATACAAGAGAGCTGTATATCGAAAACAGTAAATTGTTCAAGACATTTTTAATATTTAATAGGTTACAGTAACTTATAAATTATCTTCAGTCACATATAAGTATAACAAATTGTATTCGAAGATTTCTTGTAAGTCCTTTTCCTTTTTAAAAACTTCAACTTACTAGAAATAGTATTTGTTTAAAAAAGAACAGCAAATATTAGGAGATATACTCGTATTAATTATTTTATTAACTAACCATTTACAATACCATAATTGCTGAATAATAAATAATTACTGAGCAGTGATTACAATAATATTATTATTATTGTATTTCATACATAATATTATTAGATTCTGAGGGAATGAATGCAATAATTTGACAATAATGTGTTATGATCATTTTTGTGTGTATATAAGATAAATATTTGAAATAACAGTCTTATTTTCAAATTCCCAATAGTTTTCAAAAACGTCTAGGAAAACGAACACAAATTAAGAAAAAACTGAATATTTACTCAAGACCAGTTTTAGATAAAATCAAAATTGATTTTGATTGTTTGGTGTAACTCAAAAAATAACTGTAGGTACATTACATTTTATCAAATTATAAATTATAAATTATTATCATTGGACGATTTGGTAGTTTTCTATATTTATATTGATTTTAAACATAATTTTAATACAAGAAGGCCGTAAAGGTAGGTACCATTGTCCATTATGCAGCTTTTATCGATGTTTTTTCAAAAGTAATTAACTTTTAATAATAATAATAATAATATGTTCACTATTTCATAACTAAAAAAAAATATATATTACATAGTTTATTTATCATAGTTACTATGATTTTCAACACAGGGGCATTCTATTGATTTTTATGCTGCGTGATATTGTTAATATATAACATGTGATGTAAGTTTTTTGATTGGTGAGACAATTTAAACTATAAAAAACCGGTGAGGGGACAGGTGTCAATAAAAAAACGTGTACTAGGGCAGCAAAATCCTAAATACAAGATTGAGTAAGTAAAGCACAAGAGTAACATAGTTTCCTTGACATTCAAATGCCAATATAATAATACGCAGTTTCTGTTTATTTCTCAATCGTACTATTAACTATTAAGTTTATTGTAAGAAATTGTTATCGTCAAAAGTCAAGACCGATAATAGTATTATATTGTATTGTATACATATATGTTACAACTCACTATTAAGAGGACGCCACACCCGTATGTGTTGTCTCCGTCTTACAAAGGAACAACACAGCAAAAACTGTTTTGAGCGGGACAACTTTTATCTTTCTGTGTTTGTAGTAGTGGCTCCAAAATTTCTGAACATATCGAGTAGAAAATTATCCATGCAAAAACGTGCCTATATTCTAGATAACATAAATACAACAAAAGTTATTTGCTTCTAAACATTTTGTTTTTTTGTTTTTTTCATTTGCTTATAAAAAATGATTGGAAAGTGTAATTAAAAAAAGAGCACGTTGTTGCACAGATAAAGTTCTTCTTTAAGTGTTGTGAAAATTTGGTAATTCTACAACAAATATGGTGCGAGAAAAGTTGTCCCGCGCTAAACAGTTTTTGCTATGTTGTACATTTGTAAGACGGAGACAGCACATGCGGGTGTGGCGTCCTCTTAATATAAGATTAGAGCAGCCAGACAGCTATAAAATAGTTGTTGAAAACCAAATTCCTGTTGCTAAATGTTGTCGGAAAAAGATAATATTGGGTTCAAGTTACTACAAAAATACCTATTTAGTTAAATACCTTAAATTAATAAAATAATTGATGTACCTAAAGGTATTTTAAGAGACGCATTCCAACGTTTTAAAAAAGTAAATATTCAAGGTATATTTTACCGTCGTCGGTGAATAATTATTTACTAATCTAGTATATTAAAATGTAAATTTCATCTAAACTGAACAGATATTAAAAAACAGAAAAAAAAGTACTTGTTTTTTTGCTTAAATATTATGTCCAATATTGTAGGTACTTTAATATTATATATATTTAAATAAAATCACTTAAAAACAAGGAAAGTCCAATTGTAGTAGCCAGTAAGGTTCGAGACTTTGAGTGTTCGTTGTCGTTGAGAAAGT